AGCTTATAAAAGAATGATTTCTCTGCCCCAGCTCATGCATGCTCTAAATCCTTGCAGTGTGACACAGAGCTGTCACCCAACTTGGGTGCTCACACCATGGCACATCTTTGGCAGCTTTTTCTCTCTTGTGGAGATAAGGCTTGCACTCCTGTGCTGATTTGGGCTGAAGTAGAGTTAACTTTCTTCCTAGTGGCTAACGTGGGGCTGTGTTTTGGATTTGTCCTGAACACAGAGTTGATAATGCAGAGATGTTTTTGTTATTGCTGAGCAGAGCTCACACAGAGCCAAGGCCTTTGCTGCTTTCCATACTGCCACACTGGGGAGGGAGTTGGGGCTGCATGGGAGATTGGGAGGAGACACAGCTGGGACAGGTGACCCAAACTGACCAAAGGGATATTCCATACCACAGGACATCATGCTCAGTATATAGAGTGGGGGGGGGAAAAAGAGGAAAGGAAGGACATCTGGAGTGATGGTGTTTGTCTTCCCAAGTCACCGTTACTCATGATGGGCCCTGCTCTCCTGGAGATGCTGAACACCTCCTGCCCATGGGAAGCAGTGAATTAATCCCTTGTTTTGCTTTGCTGGTGTGTGTGGTTTTTGTTGTTGCCTTTAAATCAACCCATGAGTTTTTCTAGCCTTTACCCTTCTGACTCTCTCCCCCATCCCACTGGGGCAGTGAGCGAGTGGCTCTGTGGGGTTTGGCTGCTGCTAGGGTTAAACCATGACAACTCCTAGCAATGAGCTGTGCAGCTTATAATCATAATGAAACCAGAGTGGCTGGTGACCTGCTCAGACTGCACAGCTGGCCTCTGCATTTCAAGGAAGTGATGCCAATAACCTTCTCCCAGCAGAGCCAAGTCTGCGATACAGAGGCTGCCACTGCCATCACTGGCCAACCATAAACAGTCTTGAACTTTAGTCAGGACAAGAAAACATAAAAATAAATGGTTTTCAAATATTTGCATTCTAAATTTATGGAAGCTCTATGTGCTAGATGCTCTCCAGACATCTGTAAAGGTACAGCATCTGCCTTGAGGAGCTCACTTGAGGTTGGACACAGAGATATCTGCACAGGGATTAGGGAAAGTGCTACAAAAGGGATTAGTTGCAGTTTTTCAGCCCACACTTTTCTTCTGTTAATAATTGAAGATCTTAAACAACTCTTGGTATTTATTTTAAAAGCACTTCAGTTTACCTTTCAGAAAAAAACCTCTTGGCTGCATTCTGTTGGCTGACACTGATTCCATAAATGTTTCAGCAAGCAAAACATGTTAATGCCATTCCCTGGGCTCACAGAATTTATCATTTATTTAGGCTGATAAAACATTTTAAATATTTATTACATGGGAAAAACATTGTTTTTTATACCAGGTCAAGTCCTCTTTAGCCTCTAGAGAACTGCACTGACCCAAAGGTTTAGGATACAGCTGGGGAGCAGAAGGACTAAGGAAGAAGAAAAACCTTATAGCAAGTAACTGATCTTTCTCAAAGCTGTGAGAAATACACTGCTAGGGAGGATGCAGGTGTTTTAGAGCTATTAGATGATGCTGTATTTTTCTCCTAGGAAGACAATGATGAGAGGGGCTGGTTGTTGTCTCATCAATTCAGGCAATTATTGAAGAATGTGCTTATACATAAGCATGTAAGTATCTGCACCTAAAGCAATGGGATTACCTACATACCCTGCTGTGTACTTACAAGCTTTGTTTGGATTCCAACCAATGCTTGGCAAGATGGCACAAAAAACCCTGCACCAGACCCAGATGCTGAAATGCATTTGGCATTGCTGCAT